AAGAGTCTCACGGCCTTTGCTGCCCGGGCTGGCTTTGAACCATGATCTTCAGATCTCAGCCTCCTGAGTAGCTAGGATTACAGGTGTGAGCCACCAGCACCCAACCTAAGTCCAGTTCTTGGGAGAAGCTTTCTCATGCCATTTATTGAAGTTAGGAGAGGGGCTGTATATGTTGGTCCTAAGATTCCTGTTACACTTAAAATCTCTTCTCTGAAAGTATTTGGGCCAGATGTGTTTACATTAGACTTTTTCAGATTTTAGAAGATGACTTATATATGCCATACATTAAGTAACTGCAGTATGATCTTGGACAGCACCTCTAGGAATGGATAGTCAAAGCCATTACTATTTCCTCAGCAAACCCAGGACTATTTTCCCTAATGTGAGATAAAATGCCGCTAGCCTCATTTCAGTTTATGTCAGAAGTTCATTCTAAAAGTTACTCAAGGGCTGGGAATGTGGCTTAGTGGTAGAGTGCTTGCTTAGTATGCATGAATCCTTGGTTCAATTCCTCAGTACCACATAAGCAGAAAAAGCCAGAAGTGGTGCAGTGGCTCAAGTAGTAGAGTGCTAGCCTTGAACAAAAGAAACTCAGTGATAGTGCCCAGGCCCTGAGTTTAAGCCTTAGGACTGGGGGAAAAAAAGTTACTCAAAAACTTTTGAGTACAGGGTACAATTGTAGATTGTGAAGTGTGGTGTTGATTTTTGTCCTTTGCCATTTAGCAGCAACTAAGAACAGGTTTGTCTCTGCCTGTTATAATATGTAGCAGTGTAGCAGGGAGTCAGACACAGGAGTGCTCATGATATTAAAGGAATAATTAAAACAACTCCAGGAGAGGGGATTTAGTAGGTTGGGTCGTTTTCTCTACATCTCCCTTGTAACATTACTCTTGGGTTTATCTTCTTTTTAGGCAGAAGTCAATTCATCTGGAAAGACTATTGCTGAGTCAGACTTAAGCAAAAACTCTTTTTCACTAAATGATTTACAAGATGATACACCTGCCACAACATTCCAGGGTGCTACAGCCAGCACATCGGTATGTAGCTTATCTTTATACATATTTATATCCATGTGGTTAGCATTATTTGGAATAGAGTAAGATCCCAGATCAAACATCTGAAAGTTTACATTCTCTTTATAAGTGGATTCTGGTTTAGTTATCCTTCTAATGAGTTATATTACCTTGATCAAATTATTCTCTGGAAGCTGGGCACTAATGACTCACACCTATAGTAATCCTAGCTGCTCAAGAGGCTTAGGTCTGAGGATTACATTTGAAGCCAGACTGGGCAGGAGAGCCAATGAGACTCATCTCTAAGCACCAAAAAACTGAAGTGGAGCTGTGGCCCAAGTGGTAGTGTGCCAGGCCCTGAGTTCAAAACTGGGCATACACATACACAAAATTACTCTCTGGGTTTTTTCTTTTTTGTTAAGTGGGAATGGACTAAATGATTTTTAAGTCCTATTATCTCTTCACAACTCTGAGTTCTCTAACAAAATTAGTTTCAATACAGAGCTAGACTCTAAATAAAAATATGTCAGCTCCTTTTATCTTTGACACGATAATGTTAAGCTCCATAAAGGCACTAACTTGATAAATATCTAGAACCAAAACTTGCTCTATCCTCTAAACTTGTACTAGCCATATGTCTATCTAAAGTCCAATTTACATTAATCAAAATTAAGTAAAATTTAAAAATCACTTGCATGTTATTAGTATAGTAGTATTTTCCATTTGATTTTTTTTTTTTGTCGGTCGAGGGGCCTGAACTCTGGGTCTGGGCGCTGTCCCTCAGCTCTTCAGCTCAGGCTAGCGCTCTACCATTTGAGCTACAGAGTCACTTCTGGCTTTTTCTGCTTATGTGGTGCTGAGGAATCGGACCCAGGACCTTATGCATACGAGGCAAGCACTCTACCACTGAGCCACCTTCCCAGCCCCTTTCCATTTGATTTTAATGTGCATAAAACTTAAAAAATTTTTTTTTCCACTACTGGATCTTGAACTCTGAGCCTGGCACTGTCCCTGAGCTTCTTTTTGCTCAAGGCTAGCACTCTACTACTTGAACCACAGCTCTACTTCCAGCTTTTTCTGCTTATGTGATACTGAGGAATTGAACTCAGGGCTTCATGCATTCTATGCAAACACTCTACCGTTAAATTTTTTTTCAAAGATATACACATATATGTATATGTTTATATGTAAATGTAATCAATTTTGGCTAAATATGCATAAGCAACAAATTGTCTAAATTGAAAGTGGAGCTTTTAATTACATTTATAAATGAACTTTCTCAGTGTGATTATATAATGTAACTACTATGGAAGTAACTGAAACCTGGTTTTGGCTTGGGGTAGGTGATTTATGTGTAAATGTAATATAAATTCAGAGATATTATACATCAAATCCCAGATAAGCTACATTTTTTTTTTTTAGCATTGGTGGGAGTAAGGGATTGCCAAAGTCTAAATTCAGCAGATAACAACAGCAGGCCATCTGCTGGTCTTTAATGCTGAGTGGTTAGCCATGTAGAAATAGGAAAAATTCCTGATGGTACTTTTATAGTCTTTTTTTTTTTGGTCGGTCGTGGGGCTTGAACTCTGGGCTTGGGCGCTGTCCCTCAGCTCTTCAGCTCAAGGC